GCACCGCTGCATTAGTGCATTGCGCACTGCACTCACACTGCCAGCGCATAGATTTGGGCACGCTTAGCCTGACGTCACACAACTGCTTCCTTTGAACTTTTTCTCACTGCAATCACATTGCCAGCGCATGGATTCGGGCGCGCTTAGCCTGACGTCGTACAACTGCTTCCTTTGAACTTTCTCTTTCTTTCTTGCTGTTGGCTTCACTTCAAAGACTAGTCTAATTAGTGGTGACTTTTAGCTTGTGCCAGCATCAAATTTTCACCCTCCATCCCTCCCATCTTATCTTGCTAATGGTACAAGGGAACATTTAGCTCTATCGCTCCTAACTGGTCACTTGCTTCGCTAGTTGCGGCTCTTCACGAGCCAGTTGTTGCCAATTGCATTGGCTTTGCCTTGCAACCCCATTGTGGCACAATGTGGGTTTATTGCGGCTCCTCGCGAGCCAGTTGCTGCCAGTGGCCTGGCATTGCTTTCCAGCTCTTCGAGCTTTTGCATTACAAGACCAGTTACTTGAAGCAGCACACTATCTCCAAAACAATTCCTTGTTGCCTTGGGCTGAGTATGAGTGTGTGAGGGATATGGTGCTAAGCAAGGGAAAACAAGAAATGATAATAATATAAGACAGAAAGGACCAAAAGAAGAAAAGGAAAAATTTATATGAAGACAATTTCATGAAGTCAGAAATAGAAAGACAATAATTTTATGGAGTCAAAGAATAGAAACACAATTTCATGGAGTCAGGAACACGTGGTTGATTTTATAGACATGCATGCACATATGTTTGATAGATGAGAAGGTTGGAATTTATGGCAGATAACAAAAGTTTAACGAGGATATTCCCAAAGAAAGTATATCAATGGCAGAAAGAGCTTTTTGGAAGGGACCAGGGACACGTATCACTGTAAAATCAGAGGGGAGAGCGTTCCAGAGTATGCTTCCCCGAAACATCATGGTCGATCGTCCCGCAGGCCCACGAAGAAAGGGAAGCAAGTTCGACACTTGTCCCCGTGTGGTGCGCTGATCCTCCGGAACAGTCTCGGGGGCCATTTGGGTGAATAACTGTTGAAGAAGGGGGCTACAGGAGCTTCTTGACATCGGTTTTCAGAATGGCTGACCTGGTACAGTAGCATGATGTCATCTACCCCCACCCCATCCTGTCTTGATCCCGGCCGCAACCCCCCCCCCCCCCTCAGCCAAATCCTGGGCACGCCACGGCTCGAGCAGGGGCTGGACGAAGCCGTGATACACGGCCAGCATGCCACGGCAGGCCAGAACACGAGCAGCTCTACGTAGGAGGCCAAGACGTGAGTTTGCCCTGGCAGCAACTGACCGGAGATGGGCACAAAAGGATAGCTTGGAGTCAACCATAACTCCGAGGAGCTTGAGGTGTGGCTGTTGTGGGATGACCTCCCCTCCAAAGTATATAGATCAAAGCAAAACAATTCAGAGTGGAATTCAACAGTTGGTGGATATGGTACTACTTGTCTGGTATTTGCATTGCATGATTGCCATTAGTGTACAGACATACATGTACACTTATACCTCGGTTATGCAGACCCCGGGGATTTCAGGCTACCGAGCAAACGTTGGGCGAGTTTCAGTGGAAATGATAGTACTCTTTGGGCAATTTTTGTGGAAATAGTGACGACATAATTATGCCATAATTATGATCTGGAGAAAAGTTGCCGTCAACTGAATCTGCCGAGGGCCAAACCGAGCGGAGTTTTCCATGTACTCTGCAAACTGAAGGGCACTCACGGCGTCTCTGCCAGGGTGATATAGATTGGCGCAAGAAACAAAGGGGTGAGAATGGCACGCAGAAGTCTTAGCTTCTGTGCTTCTATTCTTTGCTCACGAAACCAGTTTGTGTAGCTAGTGCACCTAAACCCGACGTGAGGGTTCATGTATGCAAATCCTGTATTCACATCTGGAATGATCGAGGTCCTGTATGCACAGCCTACTATCTACGAGGATGGAGCCTTTTTTAATTTTTTTTACTATGTTCACATACCCAACTCATAAATAATACAGAAAGACAATGGTACTGAGACAAGGACAAACGTGACAACTACTGAGAAGGGGCTGCACCGAGATGCAGTAGTGATGGTGGGGCATTGATGGCTCTGCCAACCTGAGGTCTCGGCATCACGGCCAGAAACACGCACCAAAAACAAAAGATAGAGCTGTGAGGGTCAGCAAAAATAAAAAGAAAGCAAGGGGCAAACAACAGCTAGTACTAATGCGCAGCGCATTCGTTGCAATGGGAGTCGTTGACGGGGCACTAGAATATAGGTGGGTCGACAGGCAGAATGTCCGTGGACCATCGCCAATCCTGTCGGCAGAGGTATTCGTTGACATTGCACTTAAACTTTTGAAGATTTTTGCGAGTTGGGGCGTAGTCTAGAAAAGCTGGCGGCAGGGAATTCCACAGCTGGATTGCACAACGTGGGAAGCTGCGGAGAATGGTGTCTGGTGCTTGACGCGGTAGGGGACTTCGTAGCTGGTAACTGTGGCCGGCGGCCATGCGGAGATCGTTTCGAGTGCGAGTGGCGTCACGGGGCTCAAGCCTTGGTGGGAGGACTGCTAGCAATTGAGTCGGACCGGTGATGAAATGCAGTGTGTACATGTATGTTAAGGCAGCAACGTATCGCCGCAGGCTGAGGCTCTGGAGCTCCGTCCCGGGACCAATGATGCGCAATGCACGGCGTTGGATGCTATCTAGGAGTGCAAGGTGGGAGGGAGCAGCTCCCATCCAGACGAGTGGGGCATACTCCAAAACGGGCCGTACAAACCCCTTGTACACAGTGAGGCGGCCTTCTCGGGAGAGATAGGGCGCAGCTCGCCGCAGGAGGCCCAAACGCTGTTTGCCACGTATAGACACTGCGCGGATGTGCTCCGCGGAGGACAGCTGCACTGCCTTAGCCTGGAGCAATGTAACATGCAATATACATGTAGCTCGGAATACCTTTCTGCTTCCAGCTCATGCTCCTGAAGTTCACCTGTATACTCCTCCCGAAGTCTTTCCAAGTTGTTCTACTTTGACATACTAGCCCCTCATACGTGTAATGGATAGAACATAATAATCATGGTTCCGTCTGGACCCGCTCAGGTGAAAGATTCTGGCATGATGGCGTCTCTAAAAAATATACCAAGCAATGGGAGCGTGACCGATTTTGAGAACAATAGACACAACACCCTGAGGCAAAGACCTGCAAAGGTAAATAAAATGGTGAGGAGGCCGTAAATGAAAATTTTCCGGTTATGACAGGATTCCGCTCGGGTAAAGGACAGGGCACACATGATTTATTGTACGTTACAGGGGAAGTTAAGCCTAAAATCAATTTTTCACTAGGTGTAGTCGTCGGGGTGCTGATTCGAATGGCCTGGGTCCGAGGAAGCTGAGACTCTCCCTTCCTCCTTTATTTCCAATCGAACTCGAGCACTTCCACCGAAACTAGGTGACTGCACCCTACTATATGGGGATTTTGTATGCAAAATATCACTAAAAGCGCCATTCCGTTCATACAAAAGCCTGGATGACCGCGACTGGCCCATATTTTGTAGTCTTTTGGACGCTGAGTGGACTGGTTTTGGTCCGAAAAGGCTGCGACGCAGCATTCGGCCCTTATACCCTATCGAACATGGCTGAACAAGCGGTCACGTGATCTTGCGTACACCAGTCACCTGGTCACCGTGCCTGCAAGCTTCAACTCACTGCATGTATGGGCGAGTTTCTGTCACTCGAGTTGAACCTTTGAACCTTTGAGGAACCTTGGTGTGAAAATTGACTCAGTACCCCAAAGACAACTGGTGAAATTTGATTTTAGGCTTAACTTCCCCTTTAACTTGGCCAGCAATCGAGGACATCTGAGCGCTGCAATTTTTATACTCCTCCGAGTTGTGATTTTTGCGTGCTGGGCCAAGCACAAGGAAGTCATCTGCAAAATAACTGCAGAAAATGGTTGTTGTTTGATCCTTTGGTGCAATCTTTGTTTCTAGTCGAAGCTAGTTGCTGTTTGGAGCAGAAACGCTGAAATTGACTATTTTCTGCATGTACTCATACATGTACTCATGTACTCAGGCATGCAGTCGCACTCGTATTTTAGCTCTTTTTCTGGAATGGATGCTGCTCTGCGCCCCTTGGTGAACATTTCCTGCGCTCGTGGAGCAGCTGAAAAGGACCACTGGTATGTCTGGTTCCTGGTTTGAAAGTGGAGAGTCGACTTTTGTGCCTTGAAAAAGGAGAGAGCGATAAAAGTACGTCTGTGGCTTACAGGGCCGGAGGAAGGAGTTCGGGAGTGGTCCGGCCAACCTTTGAGGGGGGTCTGGGGGACCTCCCCCGGGAGAAATATTTAAAATTTACGTGAAATAGAGCGAATTTGGGCATCTCTAAGCCGGACTAAGGCTCCAGAAAATGCAGAAAATTATAGTAAAAGAACACAAACAAAACTTTTTTTATCCATATCAGCCATACAGTGCCGGTCACGGACTCCTGAGTCATGAGCTACTTCGAAGCACATCACACGTCAGCAGTACAGTCGAGTCATGTACCTCTGGATTTTTTTACACCGGTTTTGCACGAATCACATGGACCATCCAGCTGGGAAAGTGGTCCGGCCATGGCCGGACCAGCCTGACCGGTTCCGCCGGCCCTGGCTTATTTTTGAGTGCTCCTCGTACATTTTTGATCGTGATAGAAATTCTCAGACCAAAGTCTGGCCGTACAGTTTTCTTGTGGATTTTTTAGTTGTTTCATCTCGTATCTATGTCAGTATTGTGATGGTGAAGTGGAGAGGGTGATTTTCTTCCTCTATGCTTCGTTCGGCTGACTTTGCTTCGTCCTCTTTGAAAAGTGATCCTGAAAAAAGGTCGATTCGCAAAATTATGTTGATTTTCAATGTACGTGATGACATGTGATTGCTGGCTATGTGAGTTGTACAGTGCAAACGCAGAACAGGATCATACTGGTTCACGACACTCTATGTTCTGTGCTTTACCTCATTCTTGATTTTACAGTCGGCCCCTCCAGCGATCAGCGCTTGACACACCTCCAGTTTACCGCTACTGGCGGCAAGGTGCAACGGAGTGTCGCCATACTGGAAGCAAAGTCAAGAAACAACAGTACAGGAAACAGTTCTCAATGAGTTGGATTGTGGATCACAGTCACAATTGTAGATCAAAGCAAAACAATTCAGAGTGGAATTCAACAGTTGGTGGATATGGTACTACTTGTCTGGTATTTACATTGCATGATTGCCATTAGTGTACAGACATACATGTACACTTATACCTCGGTTTTCCAGACCCCGAAGCTGCGGGCATTTCAGGCTACCGAGCAAACGTTGGGCGAGTTTCAGTGGAAATGATAGTACTCTTTTGGCAATTTTTGTGGAAATAGTGACGACATATGCCATATGACCTGAGAAAAGTTGCCATCAACTGAATCCGCCGAGAGCCAAACCAAGCAGAGTTTCCCATGCACTCTGCAAACTGAAGGGCACTCACGGCGTCTCTGCCATGTTGATATAGAGTGGCGCAAGAAACAAAAGGGTGAGGATGGCACGCAGAAGTCTTAGCTTCCGTGCTTGTATGCTCGCGAAACCAGTTTGTGTAGCTAGTGCACCTAAACCCGACGTGAGGGTTCATGTATGGAAATCCTGTATTCACATCTGGAATGCTCGAGGTCCTGTATGCACAGCCTACTATCAAGAGTCCATAAACAAAAGTATGCAACTGTGATCTCTTTTCAATGGGCCAGATACGCGGCGCGCTGCCTTCATTACATCATTCAGCTGCAGTCCGCACACTGCGGAAAATCAAACACCGCACATTCCCTCTGGTTTGAAATGACTTTCGAACGGAACTCGAGTTCACGCGCCAAAATTTAGACATCGCCTAGGTACTGTCATGAATCCAGCAAAACAAATGAACTCGTACGAGAAATGTTGGGTTTGAGTGCATGCTTTCAGAGCGTGCATGATGAAGGTAAGTTACGTAATGAAGGCAGAGCGCCGCGCACTGACCCATAACCACAGTTGCACACTCTTGTTTATGCACTCTTGCTACAATCCACGAGGAAGGAGTCTGCACTGCCCTAGCCTGCATCAATGTAAGATAAAATAATTATACATGTAGCTTCGAACACTTTTCCGTTTCCAGCTTGTGCGCCTGAAGTTTAGGGCTCACAGTACGTATGCTGATTGCCAGTGGACATCAGCGCCATTTTGATTGGGGCACTCAAGTTCACGTGATCCTTTCACGTGCAGGGCTGCATGCAGTTCTGTGCTGCCGTTTAGATCTACGTGCAGGCTGCAGCGCTGCAGCATGCTGATGGAGCTGCTATTTTCTTGCTCTGTCGGCAAACAAATTTTCCCACAAGTAGCTAGAAGATGGAGAAGCGTGGGAGGCCTTGATCTTTTCTGTAGTTCGGGAGGTGGGCATCGACCATTACAATGGTAGTTCTCCGTGACTTACCCTTGGTACTGAGCTGTGGCTAAGGTGAAGTGAGGGACGAACTTACCAAAAATATCGCAAGCCTACAAGCGCTTCGGGTCACTAATGCCCGGGAAGAAATTGATGAAGAGCACCAGTCTGCCACGACAATACTCCACAGTAACCAGCTCACACTCGGCTCTACCCACACCTGACCATGGATTTGGAAGGAAGGAGTTTGTTCCACTGCGCAGTGAACGAAACGGCAGGTGAGCGAAGAGTTGTGCACGCTGTCGCGTAATCTTTGTAGTTTGAGTCTAGGATCTGCGGCGCTTCTCACGATCCTAGGCAAACAGGCCACGAACAAGCCGTCCATCCACGATCACAAAGTAGTTGCAAAGTCGTTACCAGGAACGTTTGCAGAGCTGATTCCATGAAGAACAACATGAGCGCACAAAACAAATCACTCAAACACGGAGCTGATCGCCTTGCGAGGTGACCAACACGTATTTTAGGTAAGTGAGCTTTTCTGGAATGCAAAGCTATGTCTTCCGCAAGCAAGGTACAGGAAATATGTGGTGGTATGCGTGACAAGGTTGCCCATCATCATTTTTTTCTCGAGTTGCCGTTTTCTGTCATGTCAGCTTGCGCACGTTATTCTTCTTGACCTTGCACGCTTCAAAATGTAAGAACTGCACAATGGTTGCTCCGATTTTGACGATCTCTGGCTCAAATTTTCTTGAGGGACCTGGCCAGAGGATTACCGAGCCATATTTTTGGCTTTCACCGAGCTTGTGTCATCGATTTCCACAGATGTTTGTCCCATCGAGGGACGAAAATCCACAAAATCCTGTTTGTGGGTCTCAGAGCACGGATTTAAAAAAATCCTAATACTGTAGTCCTTCAGCCAAGGAATCCTCCCTGAAAATTTCATGGCTCTCCCGTAAGTCGATCTTTAGAATGAAATGATAGAAGATTCAAAAAATATTCAAAATTCCAAGCCCGGGGATTGTCTGAAACACGGTTTTCACTGATCACGCCAGCACCTCGTGGAACAAAATGGCTGTGATGTTGAATGTACAGTCAGACCTCGCTTATCCGGTCCTCTATTATCCGGATCCCTCGCCATCCGGAAAAAATAGCTGGTTACAGATTTACAGCATATGTAATGCATCCAACATAACTGGTGTTCGGTTATCCGGTTCCCTCGCCTATCCGGATATTTTTGTGGAAACGGATGTGTGCGGTTAAGCGAGGTCTGACTGTACGCAACTGTGAGCCCTAAAGTTCACCTGTATGCTCCTCCCGAAGTCGTTCCAAGTTTTGTACTTCGACATACTATAGTCAGTTTCAAAAAGATTAGCAATCCTGGCGATCGCCCGGGGAGTTTGCCGTCTTACCGTATGAGCGCTCGAGCGCTGCCTGGAAAAACTCACTGTGAACTCGAAGAAATAGTCCGCGTGAAAGCATGAAAAAATGACAACTCACTGACGTCGGTACTCGTACATGTTCGTCTGGTTTACAACAAACGAGTTCTTCCTCACATCGATATGGAGTCAGAGAGGACAATCATGTCGAAAGTGTGGTAAATTTTGACGAGCGGGATGCATCCATTTTGTGACCAAATAGATTCTTTGAGCTGCCGCGGATGCAATTTACTCTCACGATGTGACGAAAACGGCATCGACACAGACTCATTCCCAAGGCCTTGAAGTGGCAAAGCTATCCATGTGAGTTTGACGACATTTTGAGAAAAGCAGACGCCTGTGAAAGCTGATAGAAGACGGCGTTGACTCCTAAATTCAAATAAATTGGCGATCTTCAAATACTAAAATAATTCTCAAACAGAAATCGATCGATCGATGTGCCGGTGTATTCAACAACACGTAGCTACAGCGCAATGACTTCCGTGTTCACTCACACGGTTTCAGTGTTGTGTATGTTCACAACTTCACATGGCGTGAGCCAGTCAAGTGTCAGTCAGTTCGGCAGGAAACGCGAGCTCCAACAACAAGCCATGGCGCAGTCACCTTCTTTGTCTTGTACCAGCGTGATCAGCGTGAAAAAAGAAGAAAAAATGTTTGACTTGAAGATGTGTTGGGATTTGAACTCACAACTTCATGGTCAGCATACAGCATTCATAACCACAAGGCCAAAAAGGAAGGGATAAATTGTGGGTTTTGATAACAAATCGATACTGGCTTCCAGGGCAAATTATAAACCATGGGAAAAGGCCAGAAACCTGGACGAAATACTAACTCCTTAACGGTTGGTCCAATTGTTCCGAAACCTTTATAGAACAATTTGCCGTGTCCTACAGTCTGTTTCAAAAAGATTAGCAATCAAGTTTTGGTCTTAAAAAGTATGAAAATAAGGGAAATTTGGACAACAAAGTACATAAAATGGCTTGTTAGGGCACGGCAAATTGTTCTGTGAAGGTTTCGGAACAATTGGACCAACCGTTAAGGAGTTAGAATTTCGGCCAAGTTTCTGGCCTTTTCCCATGGCTTATAATTTGCCCTGGAAGCCAGTATCGATTTGTTATCAAAACCCACGATTTATCGCTTCCTTTTTGGCCTTGTGGTTATGAATGCTGTCTGCTGACCATGAAGTTGTGAGTTCAAATCCCAACAAATCTTCAAGTCAAACATTTTTTCTTCATTTTTTCATTGTTTGGTGATCACGCTGTTGCTGTACAAGACAAAGAAGGTGGCTGCGCCAAACGACTTTGTTGTTGGAGCTCGCGTTTCCTGCCGAACTGACTGACACTCACGCCATGTGAAGTTGTGAACATACACAACACTGAAACCATGTGAGTGAAACCGGAAGTCATCGCGCTGTAGCTTCGTGTCGGTGAATACACCGGCACATCCATCGATCGATTTCTGTTTGAGAATTATTTTAGTATTTCAAGATCGCCAATTTATTTGAATTTAGGAGTCAAAAACGCCGTCTTCTATCAGCTTTCACAGGCATCTGCTTTTCTCAAAATGGCGTCGAAGTCACACGGATAGCTTTGCCACATCAAGGCCTTGGGAATGAGTCTGTGTCGATGCCGTTTTCGTCTCATCGTGAGAGTAAATTGCATCCGCGGCAGCTCAAAGAATCTATTTGGTCACAAAACGAATTGGGAGGCATCCCGCTCGTCAAAATTTACCACACTTTCGACATGTCCTCTCTGACTCCATATCGATACGAGGAAGAACTCGTTTGTTGTAAACCAGACGAACATGATGTACGAGTACCGACGTGAGTGAGTTGTCATTTTTCATGCTTTCGCGCGGAATATTTCTTCGAGTTCACAGTGAGTTTTTCCAGGCAGCGCTCGAGCGCTCATACGGTAAGACGGCAAACTCCCCGGGCGATCGCCAGGATTGCTAATCTTTTTGAAACTGACTATAACAAGCCGTTTTATATACTTTGTTGTCCAAAATTCCCACATATTTATACTTTTTAAGACCCAAACTTGATTGCTAATCTTTTTGAAACAGATTGTAGCCCCTCATACGTGTAAAGGATGGAACATAATATTAATTATTCCGTCTGGACCCGCTCAGGTGAAAGATTCTGGTATGAATCAAAAATATACCAAGCAATGAGAGCGTGACCGATTTCGAGAAAAATAGACACAAAACCCTGAGGCAAAGACCTGCGCACATTACAGCGGTGAGGAGGCAGTATATGAGACATTATCCGGTCATGACAGGATTCCTCTTGGGTAAAGGTCAGGGAACACATCAGTTATTGTACGTTAATTGTACAGTGCAAACACAGAACAGGATTATCCTGGTTCATAACACTCAATGTTACTGTGCTTTACCTCATTCTTGATGTTACAGTCGGCCCCTCCAGCGATCAGCGCTTGACACACCTCGAGGTTACCTGTCCCGGCGGCATCGTGCAACGGAGTGTCGCCACGCTGGATGCACACGCAAGAAACAACAGGAGAGGAAAACGTTCTCAATGGGTTTGATTGTAGAACACAGTCACAACTGTAGATCAAAGCAAAACAATTCAGAGTGGAATTCAACAGTTGGTGGATATGGTACTACTTGTCTGGTATTTACATTGCATGATTACCATTAGTGTACAGACATACATGTACACTTATACCTCGGTTATCCAGACCCCAAAGTTACGGGCATTTCAGGCTACCGGACACACTTTGGTTGAGTTTTAGTGGAAATGTTACTACTCTTTTGGCAATTTTGTGGAACTAGTGGCGACATATGCATTATCTATGGCCATTTCTCGTCAAAATGTATGTGATTCGGAGTTACAGACATTTCGAAGTCATGGGCAGTGCCCGGATAAACAAGTTATGAGCGTATTTCATATTGTCGGATCATTGTGTCGTTTTTCAAATTGGATCAACGCCCATGGTGTGGTACGAATGCGGCTAGACACACACACAATGCAAGTGCAGTGATGTGATCGGAACTGGTCCATGGTGCCAGTTTTGTGGATTACGTCGCATTTCAGTGAAGAAAATTGTACGTTGCTGCCTTAATCCGATCCCTCCAGGGTGATTCAGCGGCAATTTTGGAGTTTGTGCTTTTGCCACTTTCAAAATAAATGTTTTTGCCTTTTATCCTGCATGTGTAATTTAATATCGTACTGGTAATGCAGGTTCAGTAAAACCCGGCCTATTCACGCAGCTGCACATTCATAGTACATACCTCGTACGGTGTTACTGTCTTATGATCTGGAGAAAAGTTGCCGCCAACTAAACTTGCCGGGGGCCAAACCAAGCGGAGTTTAGCATGCACTCTGCAAACTGAAGGGCACTCACGGCGTCTCCCACATGTTGATTTAGAGTGACGTAAAAGACAAAAGGACGAGGAAGGCATGCAGAAGTCTTAGCTTCCGTGCTTCTGTTCTTTGCTCGCCAAACCAGTTTGTGCAGCTAGTGCACCTAAACCCGACGTGAGGGTTCATGTATGCAAATCTTGTATTCATATCTGGAATGATCGAGGTCCTGTATGCACAGCCTACTATCCATGAGGATGGAGCCTTCGCTGCCCTAGCCTCCAGCAATGTAAGATACAATATACATGTAGCTCAAAATACTTTTCTGTTTCCAGCTCATGCGCCTGAAGTTCACCTGTATACTCCTCCCGAAGTCGTTTCTATTTTGTTTGTGTTTTTTTTTACTAGAGCCACGTAAACCCGTCATGTGTGAGCCATGAAAAAGGGGAGTGGAGGCGTGGTGGGATGCTCTGCCGACCTTGGGTCTCGGCTTCATCACCGTCAGGCGAAATTACTGGTCAGTCGGCAACACGCATTTTTCACAAAAAATTGCGTTTCACCTGCTGGGAGAGTATGCGTGTACTCGAGTCTCATCCTGAGCACGTTTTTTTCTTCTTTTTTCCAGCTCCAGTGTAGCTGTATTTTTCATTGCAAAGCCGTCCTCGATTGTTGTGTTCGTTGTTCAAACGAAGTGGACATTCAATCATGAAGGCAGCGTACATAGGAGCCTGATTGAAGTTTCTCGTGGCATAGCACGGCCATACAAAGACACTTTGGGATTTTCTGAATATAGAATACCGTACGCACAATGCTGAGATCAATTTGTACGATATCAAATTGTTTGTGATCTACCACATCGAGCAGAACGGGATCCAAACACAAGCTAACCGACGGTTAGGTTGCCGACCTGACTGAACAAATGATCCCTGGCTTCACCAGACGCCAGAAGTCGGACACCATGTCGTTTGCCGCGACGTCTATCTCAAAAAAAGAACTCCATCTTCGTCGTGAAAAAGGCTTGAAATACTCAATATTCAACCGAGATTCGCGGTCTCACCCTTTCTCAGATCGAATCATTTTTTTGTTGTAGCAGTTGCAGGGCAGACCCCTCCACTACTTCAACAGGGGATGGCTCCAAAGCATGCCTGTAACGAGCCATATCGAGGTTGCAAGCCACCCCTCTCAGCAAGAAATTCGAAATTGCAATGGTGGAAGATATACTATGAAGAGAATTTCAAAAAGTATGTTTCGCAGAGCGATCGCTCAACCTTCGTCATTCAAATTTTGCAGGAGGGTACAGGCCTACATGCTAGGCATGGAACCACAGGGGTTGATGTCATAGCTGACACGCAGAGTAACACACACAGCAGATTCGTGTGCACAGATACTAAATTAATGGACGTCGTCATATTCTTCCCGCTGATCTCAAATGTACTATGACGTGCTATTTCGCCTGACGAACCAGGCGCGCCATTTTTTCTAGTTCGACAAACTAGCCCCTCATAGGTGTAATGGATGGAACATAATAATTATTGTTCCGTCTGGACCTGCTCAGGGGAAAGATTTTGGCATGATGGCGTCTCTCAAAAATATACCAAGCAATGGGAGCATGACTAATTTTGAGAACAATAGACACAACACCATGAGGCAATGAATGACCTGTACACATTAAAGTGGTGAGGAGGCCGTAAACAAAAATTGACGATTACCCACTCGGGTAAAGGTCAGGAAACACACGACATATTGTACGTTAAAGGGGATGTTAAGCCTATAATCAATTGTCCACCAGTTGTAGTCTTTGGGGTGCTGAGTCGAATGGCCTTGGTCCGAGGAACCTGAGACTCTCCCTTCCTCCTTTATTCCCAATTGAACTCGCGCACTTCCACCGAAGCTGGGTGACTGCGCCCTGCTACATGAGGGTTTTTATGCAAAGTGTCACTAAAAGTGCCATTTCGTTCTTATAAAAGCCCGGATGACCGCGACTGGCCCATGTGTTGTAGTCTTTTGCTGCGATGCAGCGTTAGGCCTCTTTACCCAATCGAACATGGCCGACCAAGCGGTCACGTGCTCGTGCGTACACCAGTCACCTGGTCACCGTGCCTGCAGGCTACAACTTACAGCATGTTAGGGCGAGTTTCTGTCACTCGGGGTGAGGCTTTGAACCTTCGCCTGCTGGCGCGGTGACCAGGTGATTGGTGTACACAGGAGCACGTGACCGCTTGTTCAACCATGTTCGATTGGGAATAAGTGCCGAACGCTGCATCGCAGCCTTTTTGGACCAAAACCAGTCGAATCAGCGTCCAAAAGACTACAACATATGGGCCACTCGCGGTCATCCGGGCTTTTATAAGAACAAAATGGCACTTTAAGTGACACTTTGCATATAAATCCCCATCTAGTAGGGCGCAGTCACCCAGTTTCGGTGGAAGTGTACGAGTTCGATTGGGAATAAAGGAGGAATAAAGGACCGTCTCAGCTTCCTTGGACCAAGACCATTCGACTCAGCACCCTGAAGACTATAACTGGTGAAAACTTGGTTTTAGGCTTAACTTCCCCTTCAACCCTTTGCCGTTTGTAAGCACAAATTTCGACCGCTCGCGGTCGATGACTTCTATGGGCACAGCGCTGGACTGGTTCACCGGAGAGAGCTGGGATTTTCCCTACTGGTAGCCAAGATGTACGCGCAGAGGGTGCCAACAATTTTTTTGTGTGATGCAATATAAAGAATCTCGGAAATTGCGACTTGAAAAATGCTCTTTGGGAAAAGTGCGTACCCTGCGACTTTTGGTATTGCCTGCAGATGTTTTCGACTTTTGCTTGAGCTGGCCTCGCGACTGTCTGCCCTGCTGTGCAAGCGATGGACGCGGAGCAATCTCTTTCGCTTCTGGAGACCCTTCCTGACGACCGTCTCACCGCCTCATCCAGCGAAGATGAGTTTGCGGAGCCAGACGATCCTGTTGAAAATATCTATTCTGACGACGACAGCGACGCTGACATGGCGAGTGAAAGCAGTGCCAGCGAGAGTGACATGGATGTCCCAGACGACGACAGTGTCGCTGAGATAAGTGCTACTAATGGTGGAAGGGGACGTGGCAGAGAGAGAGAGAGGATTCGGCCGCGGAATAGGCTGTGGTCACGGTAGAGGTTGTGGTGCACATATACTAGGTACAGCCAGTCGATATTTACAACACTTGGGACAATACAGACACCACTGTGACTGTTAACACTCCTGCATTCCACCCAGAGAACGAACCTGGTATCCACTTACCTGAGGGAGCCACTCCAGTACAAGAATATGATTTATTGCATATTGCAACAGTTTGCCCGATCGGCAATAAATCCAAATAATTATTCCCGTAGCTATGCAGAAGACGTTACTTCAGTAACGTCTGGCGCTAGCCAGGGTCCACACAGCTTTAATTTGGTGTCTGTTTGTTTGTTTGTGTCACGCCTGGAGCTATCCCGTATCTGTCCCGTATCTGTCCCGTATCTGTGACTACAAAGGCTCTACAGGATTGTACATACCGTACTTCCGCAAATAAAAGGCCGTCCTCGTATACAACGCCTTCCTCGTATACAAGGCCGGGGCAGGGGCAATTGAAAAAATAAAAGACCGTCTCCGATTAGAAGACCGGGCCTACTAAATGAGTCTTTGTTCTTGTGTTAAAAATAGAAGACCGTGCTCAAACTGTGGGAAAAAATAGAAGACCGTGCTCAAACTGTGTAGAAGAAAATGGAAGAACGGGGGTAAAACTGTGTGGCGAGAAATAGAAGAGCGGGGTCAAACTGGGTTGAAAGAATAAAAGACCGTCCTCGAATACAAGACCGTCCTTGATTATAAGCCCGGGTTAGGACGAGGTTGAAAAAATATTAGACCGGCCTACTATTTTTGGAAATACGGTAACAGCTGGCCACAATATTTGCTGGCTCCGGTATCTGTCCCGGACCGTCCCGTACAAACAGCTGGCCACAATATTCGTCATATTATGTATACGACTCCCTAATGTAGAGGGAGATTTGGAAAGAAATAGGGAGACGAGGAGGAATAGAATTTAGAATGGGCGTTAGTTGCCGAATAGATGATAAAATGCGTCAGCAAAAACATACTTTGGAAGAGAGATCCCGTCGTCTCCAAAATAAGCGTGAACGAGCGATTCAGCGCCGGTCACAGGAAACGTCGGAAGAGACATCAGGATAGGCATCCCGTCGACTCCAGAACGCCCGTGATCGGCAGAGTCAGCGCCGGTCCCAGGAAAAGTCAGGTCAGACATCCCGTCAACGCGCAGCCTCTGCAGCCTCTTTTGCTGTCGGACAGGATACGTATTTTAGGAGACTGTAAAGTTATGCAATGTGCTCCACAGGCAACCATGCATTCGGCCGTCCTCATTGGCTCAACAGGTCAATGTATTAGTACAAAAAGGCCAGAAAATCCGATTACTGTATTAAAATCAACTAATTTTTGCTGGCGATTTAATTTCGCTGATTTCGCCGCTTGGTGCCAACCGGCCAAAGTAAATCGCAGGCCAAAGTTTGTCATAGAGGCAAATGATGACATTGTATCATTGAGCAATGCATGCATGTGAGAGCAAAAAATACCGATCGATTTCTTTTTGAAAACTCCAATCGGCCAAAGTTTAATGACGGCGAAAAGTTTCGTTTCTCATCGGCCAAAGTTGCTCATCGGCCAAAATTTGTTGATTTACAGTATAAGGAGATAAATAGAAAAGAAGGAGCAAACCAAAAAGTGGATGAAATTAGAGAAGTAACAATTCGCAATAAATTCTGCAAATACTTTTGCCTAACTAATATTCCAAAAAAATACTCATATTCAATGTATGCAACACTTTTATCTCCACATCACCATATTTTTTTGTTTATGTTTTTTCACTCCATTGTCGTGAGTTCCCTTTGGGAACGGATACGAAAATAATAATAATAATGTAGAAAGGAAAAGGACATAAGGATACGAGTTAAGAGTAACTCTCCATCACTGTAACTGGATACTATATACAGTCAGAAAGTGCAATAACTAGGCACAAAACTGACAAGAGTACTGAGACATTCGACTGTCTCAGTACTCTTTCCAGTTGTGTGCCTAGTTATTGCATTTTCTGACTGTCTATAGTATACAGTTACAGTGATGGAGAGTTACTCTTAACTCGTATCCTTATGTCCTTTTCCTTTCTACATTTATTTATGGCTCAACATCCGAGTTTCAAATAATAATAATTCAAACAGTAGTTTGGAGGCGGTGGGAAAACAGTTTCGTAATAAGTATTCGCATGCAAGGACGCAAATTCACACAATTCAGTAGACACTTCTTTTCTATGAAACGTTTTCTTTCCCTTCTCTTCAGGATAGTACAGGGAATGTTGTAAATTTGAAAAAAACACATAACTATATAGAGAATGAAAGAAAGAAAAAAGTCAACACTTCAACATAGGTGTTAAAATGATTAAAGTGTTAAAAACTCAAAAACAAACAGCTGCAAGTTGTAGACAAACACGTTGAACACATCAGGGAACACTTGTCACATTTTCACGAGGTGTGACACCAAACAACTGCAACGATAACACATTCTCCTTCTGTACACATAGTTCTGGATCTAGTTTACGAATATACAGAGCTTCTAACACAGCAAGATGTAACTTAGACCTTCCACGAGTCAAAATCGAAAAGATATCATCACTATACAACTTACGACAACTAGCACTGCCCGACAAATGACGCTTGATGGACGATGTCCGATCACTTAGCTCTGTCACCTTCGACGCCTGCCGTTGTTCTCTTCCGTTAGGCTTGTTTGGTTGGTTGCTCCGGTGCATGCCTCCAACGTCCGTTGATTTCATGTCCGTTTTTGTTGATTTCATGGCCGTTTTTGTTTCACTTCTTGGTCTTCCTCGTTTCCTCGTGTTGATCGTTGTTGTCACTTCCATTATCGACGTATTCAAATCCCCAGTACTCCGTTTCTTCACCTTGCTTCTGGTAACTCTTCCGGTGTCTATGAGCTCCAGTGTCACATTGGGTGGTTTTCGAGACGGTCTCCCTCGCTTCCTCACGCTAGTCTGAGATGGGCCAAGCTCGCCGCCCGTCGAGGCGGAGGCGCGCATGCGTACATCTACACTGGACGCAGACAAAGGTGTTCCAGTATCGGACTGCACAGCACATTTTGGAGGACGGCCACGACGAGGACGAGTACCACGAGCGTCAACAGGGACAAGACCTAACGGCACATGTTGACGGATGCGTGCGCCCAGGTGTTGAAGGGTTCTACCTACGTACCGATCTTCACATTCTCGGCACTGAAAAAAATAGATAAGGTTGCTTCTACTAAGGGTAGGTAGAACGTCCTTCTTCACACTGAACGCACGCGTCGTTCCAAATACTAAATACAATTTCACGCACGGGTAAGACGAACACACAATGTTGCGCACATCCTTCTCGATGCGCGCAGAACCAGCACCCACCCAGGGTAAGCGGAGTACCACGGGGCACCTGTCCGGTCCAAATGGTTTCGGATCCTGCGTGATTGGTTTGTTAATAATAAGTTTTGTTAGTAGTGACGAGGGGTATCCATTGTTTGTCAAAATTGATGTGAGCCGCCTCAGTTCTTCTTGAAGAAGGTGAGGAGAGCAGATTCGATGGGCACGATAGACTAGTGCTTTGACAAGGTGAACTTTGGATTTAGTTGGTGTGTAGCTTCCCCATGGAATATACAAGCCAGTAAAGGTGGGTTTTCTGTAAACCGTCATGTCTAAACTCTTGGTGTCGTTGTTGCGGGTAATATTGACATCTAAGAAGGATATCACACCGTCCCGTTCACCTTCTGCAGTGAATTTTAATGCAGGATGTAGTCCGTTTAGGGTTGTTAAAAAGTTCTGGCAGGTTTCTTGGTCCTCGTCTTGACAAAAAACATCATCTACAAAACGGTAGTATACCGAGGGCCATAGCGATGGGGGAATGGATGACTCGCAAAATCCAACGAATATGTTTGCTAATACCGAACCAAGTGGAGATCCCATCGCAACTCCATCCAACTGTTTATACATGACATTGTCAAAGGAAAACTCAACGCCAGAAGTGACCATTAACATGAGTTTGACAAATTCGCTCTCATTCAAATCTGGTGGAGTCACGGACTTGTTATGGTACAACGCTGCTGCACAAATATCAATGGTTTCACGCAATGGAACATTGGTGAACAAACTGACGACATCGTACGAGCACATGTAACCAAACGACTCAAACTTCGATTTCCTGATCTTATCTACGAACTCGAATGTGTCCTTGACGCAATGGTTATTGTAAAGGGCGAGCACAGTCTGCAGCATTGCGCACAACCACTTGGATATCTTAAATTGCGGAGAACCGGACATGCTTAGTATCGGTCGTAATGGTATATTCTTTTTGTGAATTTTCGGAAGGCCATACATCCGCAGCCGAGTGGATCCCGTTGGTGCTAGCCGGTCATGTTCATATTGAGTAATCTGATGAGATCTAGATAGAAACAGTAGGTATTTACTTAATTTCGTATCTATGTTTGCAGTGTGATCATAACCATCGCACGGGCCGAGTCTACAGAACTTAGTGGTGTCATTGAGTATGACCATCATCTTCGCTCTATACTCCACTGCCGACATAATCACCGTTGCCCAGCCCTTGTCAGGGCGAGATATCACGATTTCAGGGTTCTTCCTAAGTTCCTTGAGAACTTTTATATGTTCCCGCGTCAGTGAAAAGGATCGTGTATCTGGCGGAGACTGGGCAAACCGGAACGCCTCGGCAGCCAAGGAAGCTCGGCAGGTTGCCGCCGCCAACTCCGATTTCGCGGGAACAGTGGACAGCTGTTGTTGAAGAAGTTCAAATTCAGCCAAAATATCAGTCTGGCTGAATTTGGGAGGGATACCAAAATCCATTCCACCACATAGAACATCTTTCTGTAGTTGACTGAGCGTGATACCGGCAAGATTAATGATTATGTCGTAGTTGTCGCTGCAGGCTCCAAACCTATCTCTTCTCAACGCTGAAACTAGGTTAGTTCGCTTCGTGTCATGTTTGGATCGTTGCTTGCGATCACATCGGGAGAGTAACCAAGAAAATCTGATAAAGTCAAAGACATTGAGAAGCCGGCGAATATTTTGATACGAGGAAACAAACTTTGATCGTACATTCTGCGTGACCCTTAGCCTTGTTTAGGTCATCTCCGAGGAGGACCTTTTCAATTGATATAGAATCATAGAGCTTCAATTTCTGGACCCATTTCTGAAGGTACTTCGGTGCTAACGAATAATGGAGACACTCACGGAGTAGTCTTACATGGAAAATAGCGGTGTTTAGTCGTCCCCTAAGGGAAATGACTTCGTTAAGAAGAGCAATATAGTCACTGGGAAGACGTAGCTTAAAGTAGTTGAAGCAATGCCGTGACGACAGAAAACACAGCAGAGCGGTATTGGTGGTGGTATGCATATATGGGGGACAAGGTCAACCCCACAAATCTCACTCCGTGAAGCCCACGGAGGAGACCCCAGAGCCATAGGTGTGGACCCTCTGCTTATGGTTACAGGGGGGCGGTATAACAACAGCCGTTGTGACTGCATGTGTGATACTAATAGAGCTTCAGCAAGAGATGTGGCACTGTGGCATGCATGTGTTTTGTAGAGTGTCTGCTAAGGATTCGGCAAGAGCCCAAGTAACGCTGCAGAGTGTCTGCTAAGGACACGGCAACGGCCGAAAGTTTGTTGGCCGAAAGTTTGTTGCAGAGCGTCAGGTAAGGATTCGGCAACGGTCGAAGGTTTGTTGCAGAGCGTCTGCTAAGAATTCGGCAATGGCCGAGAGTTTGTTGAAGAGCGTCTGCTAAGGATTCGGCAACGGCCGAAGGTTTGTCGCAGAGCGTCTGCTAAGGATTCGGCACCGCCCGCAAGTCTGGTGCAGAGCGTCTGCTAAGGATTCGGCAACGGCCGCAAGTCTGTTGTAGAATGTCATGTAAAGGCGCGGCCACGGCCGCATGTATATTGGGAGACCAGCGGGCCTGGTGAAATGTGCAAGCGAAATCTAGGAAACAATGAACAATGAGTCCGAGATGCAATGAGTGAGAGAGAACGATTAAACGAAGACTGGAACGAACAAAGCCAATGGAAAAATATTATGGAGATGCGATTCCGTTAGAAAATATGCATCGATATACCAAGCCACGGCGGCTCAGTACGAAAGTGTGCCTCCACGTTAAATAATTCAAACAGTAGTTTGGAGGCGGTGGGAAAACAGTTTCGTAATAAGTATTCGCATGCAACGACGCAAATCCACACAATTCAGTAGACACTTCTTTTCTATCAAACGTTTTCTTTCCCTTCTCTTCAGGATAGTTCAGGGAATGTTGTAAATTTGAAAAAACACATAACTATATAGAGAATGAAAGAAAGAAAAAAGTCAACACTTCAACATAGGTGTTAAAATGATTAAAGTGTTAAAAACTCAAAAACAAACAGCTGCAAGTTGTAGACAAACACGTTGAACACATCAGTGAACACTTGTCACCCTTTCACGAGGTGTGACACCAAACAACTGCAACGATACCACATTCTCCTTCTGTACACATAGTTCTGGATCTAGTTTACGAATATACAGAGCTTCTAACACAGCAAGATGTAACTTAGACCTTCCACGAGTCAAAATCGAAAAGATATCATCACTATACAACTTACGACAACTAGCACTGCCCGACAAATGACGCTTGATGGACGATATCCGATCACTTAGCTCTGTTACCTTCGACGCCTGCCGTTGTTCTCTTCCGTTAGGCTTGTTTGGTTAGTTGCTCCGGTCCACACCTCCAATGTCCGTTGATTTCATGTCCCTTTTTGTTGATTTTATGGCCGTTTTCGTTTCACTTCTTGATCTTCCTCGTTTCCTCTTGTGGATCGTTGTTGTCACTTCCATATCGACGTGTTCAAATCCCCAGTACTCCGTCTCTTCACCTTGCTTCTGGTAACTCTTCCGGTGCCTATGAGCTCCAAGCTCTGTATATTCGTAAACTAGATCCAGAACTATGTGTACAGAAGGAGAATGTGTTATCGTTGCAGTTGTTTGGTGTCACACCTTGTGAAAGTGTGACAAGTGTTCCCTGATGTGTTCAACGTGTTTGTCTACAACTTGCAGCTGTTTGTTTTGGAGTTTTTAACACTTTAATCATTTTAACACCTATGTTGAAGTGTTGACTTTTTTCTTTCTTTCATTCTCTATATAAGAAAGGGTTTGCTCCCCACACCGGAGCTCGCGCTATTCCGCCGACTTTACTTTCCAGGAGCGACACTGACTCACGCTGCTATCTGGTGTTCACGAGGTGTTTATCGCGCTGGAAGCGGAGCGTCTCTGTAAGTTTGTATCCCTGGTGATGTTTGTACCTGAAGAGCACTATATAAGTGGTGCTCTTCAGGCACAATCTTCCTCAGCCTACTCAAGCTCAACTGATGAGGGGTGAATTCCCCAAAACACTGTGTATTGAGCAGGGAGTGGTGCTTTCTTGCAGGTTTGCCGAGTCGAAGGTTCGATGGACTTCTCGTGTGCTCTGGATGGCAGTCGTGAGTCAGTCAAGTGTCAAGTAAAGTCGGCGGAATAGCGCGAGCTCCGGTGTGGGGAGCAAACCCTTTCTTACAAATCATCGCGGAAGTCGCAACCACTACTTCGTACCATTCTCTATATAGTTATGTGTTTTTTTCAAATTTACAACATTCCCTGTACTATCCTGAAGAGAAGGGAAAGAAAACGTTTGATAGAAAAGAAGTGTCTACTGAATTGTGTGGATTTGCGTCGTTGCATGCGAATACTTATTACGAAATAATAATAATAATAATAATAATCATAATAATAATAATAGCTATGAAAAGTATGAATGCCGCAGACATCACCACGCAACATGACAATTTGTTCAAGGTTTGGTTTTGCGTGTTTCCAAAATCGATTTTCACGTTCCGATCATCAGTGGAAATACGGAACTAAAGAGATCAAGGGAAAAACAAAGGTTAAAAATCCAAAGAAGTGTGACACATGACGGGTAATTTGTGGTAAGTATTACAAAAAGTGAGAAGTAAAATAAAGAGTAAGTGTGACAAACGGGCATGAACAGTGCAGAAACAACTCATGAACACGGGGTGCAAACTCACGAAAATAACCTAAGTGCTAAAACATGTTCTTTTTGCTTACACAAATCGGGCTTATGCGTACGAATACAAACAGCTTCAAGGACCTTCAACTGCTGGACATAACGGGCACGACAAAGAACATGTTTTAGCACTTAGGTTATTTTCGTGAGTTTGCACCCCGTGTTCATGAGTTGTTTCTGCACTGTTCATGCCCGTTTGTCACACTTACTCTTTATTTTAGTTCTCACTTTTTGTAATACTTACCACAAGTTACCCGTCATGTGTCACACTTCTTTGGATTTTTAACCTTTGTTTTTTCCCTTGATCTCTTTAGTTCCGTATTTCCACTGATGATCGGAACGTGAAAATCGATTTTGGAAACACGCAAAACCAAACCTTGAAAAAATTGTCATGTTGCGTGGTGATGTCTGCGGCATTCATACTTTTCATAGCTATTATAAAACTTTTATCTCCACGTAGATTATTTGTAAATAATAATAATAATATAATATTATTAAAAAGCTTCCGTGGAGATAAAAATGTAATCAACGCAATAAATAGAGTAAGCTGCGCACTCAGTACAAACACCATAAGCAAAACTTGTTTTCATGTAAATAAAGAAGCTTGTTCCTAAACGGTTTCGTCGCCATCTCATCAGAGGATTACTGGCAAATCAACAAAAGCTCTTAACTCAATATATTATATATACGCACAATGCAAGTAATAATTTAGACCCTAACTAGCGCGATAAAATGAGAGCTGAAAGAAACATTACACCATTCAACGATATCAGGTGACAACAGATGCGATAAATTCACCACTAGAAAGTTACCATGCAACCACAAACGAGAACTACTGATCTAAATTCACAAACAATTTCAACGTAAACAAATTCTTTTTCTGCCTACACAAAATCGGCTTGGTGGTAAAAATGTAAATAGACTCCAATACACGCAAATACCTTTGACTACGTGAACGAGACCAAACAGAAAAGCAATCATCAGCATAACTAGAACGACAATCACTATTCTGAACAAGATAGTTGCATTGTGCGTATATATATATTGAGTTAAGAGCTTTTGTTGATTTGCCAGTAATCCTCTGATGAGATGGCGACGAAAACGTTTAGGAACAAGCTTCTTTATTTACATGAAAACAAGTTTTGCTTATGGTGTTTGTACTGAGTGCGCAGCTTACTCTATTTATTGCGTTGAATAATAATAATAATAATATTAACT